AACGTCGTTCACGCAAAACCTTCGATTGAAGATGATGTGGTCATTCTCGTCTTATTATGGAATTGTCCACCAGGAGACTCCCATGTCCAGCGTAGAGAGTAGGGCTTCTGGAACTGCGAGTTACCATGGATGGTATGGGTCGACATGATAAACTCAGACAGCCTTTCACCCTGCTCATTCCACTCCGTTCCGTGAGTTCCGATGTGAAGTTCTTCAGCCGTTCTTCTTGGTCTTAGCGTTGAAATCACCGACGATGACCTTGAAGAAGGTATGGTCTCTGAACCTCCCTTGTAGAACATCCCCAATTCCATATGGATTGTTTTAACCTCATCCTCATCGTAGCTTGATGTTGGTGCGTAGGCGACGAAGATTGTCAAAGCCGGAGTTGAACCACATCTTCTCAATCGCAAACGTCCGATTCGGGTCGTCAGATTTTCGTACGAATCGATGTTCATGGCCAAGTGCGTGTTGACGAGGACGCTCCACACCGCCGCCATCGCCTCTACACCCAGGGCACATCGTTGTTGGGGAATTCTCCAACAGGGGTCGTATTTGGCCGCCAGGAGAGGGGGTCGTATTTGGGCTGAGAAAAATTTATTTTGATAGTTGATTTTTCTCGCTTCTTTGGACGTTGTAAAGGGGGGGGGTCGTAGTTACTTTGTGGAATTTCTAGGAGTGGTGGGAATGGTGGTTGACTTTTCGTGATTTTTTTTACTATATACCCCCCCCCCTCCGCTCGACAGCAAAATTTTTGGGAAAAAGTAGGGAAGTTTTCGGGAAATTTTGGAAAAAGTGGCAGGAAGTTGGGGAAAATCTGAGAACTGGTAGAAGGGGGGAGGGGGAACGTAATGCCTCGGGCTTTTCCTGTTTCACATGTGCGTTTATTCCGGACTCGACTAAAACATGACGTGTCCTGTCCACTGCTCATGTTCCGAGGTACAGTTCTTCTCCAGTTTCGTATACAGTGTACAGCCTCCTCTTTCCGGTCATACTTGATCTTCCTGGCTGGGATCATCAGATTTTCAATGTGAGTTTCCGTTGCAAGTGTCCTTGCATGAAAATATAGATCGTCATCCTGGTCCTGGGCTAGTTCTCCGTTGGCCCAGAGATTCTAGCATCCGACCAGTCCCAACCAACGCCACCCTAACGGTGGTTTCTTCAGGTTCAGGGGAATGAGGCCCATATCCATTACTGCTTTGAAGAATTTGACCACGCGTAGATTGCCAAGCTCTCGCATATCGGAAATATCCATTGTTTTTTCAGTAAATGTAAGTTCACGGAGAACATAGTAGAGTGGTTTCGTCCGCTCTACACTAAACGATGCGATATGATCTCATCGAAAATTTTATGTCCTGTCCGTTATGGAACGATGCACCGAAGCCATCACAAGTAGAGCTTCCGGGTGTGCTAGCCAACATGCATGAATGATTTATTGGTAACTTGATCGTTTGAATTCCTGCAATGTTATCTGTTGATTTGACACTGGAGAATGGAGCAAGATGATCGGAGAGTTAAAAATTTCACTTTTCAAGTTTTGAGGGCCTAGTACTACTTGCAAATTGACTAATTCGTACACTGGGCGTTGTTACAAGGTGGCATCATTGAGAAAATGCTATAATGAATTGTCCAATAGGGCAGTTCAATTCTAACTAGGGAAGGTCGTCAGGTCGAAGTGGCCATTTGTAATGAGATGTAGCTCACTAGACGTGGTTTTGGACGCTGATCTCGAATCTGCCTTCAAATTTGCAAAGCGATTCTCTGAACGGAGTTATGGAGCCGCGTTTACCACGCAACAGGTCATGGGATCGGATCCCTGCTGAGCTTAACTTTTTTGCTTGTTGTGGCAAAAAGTGGTTGCGCGCACTACTACATTAGCGCTCTCCTTGACTTGCCTGAAAAACAGTTAGCGCTTGCTTAGTGCCTTATGATCTAGGAGAATTTTTGGATGTACAGGTGCCCTTGGCGCGCAGTGCAGGCGTTTTCGCGCTGAGCGAGTGCCATATTCGTATTTATGGGGGCGAACTACGCCTAGGTAGAGGTTTCTAGCCAAATCTGGCATTTTGACCTGACTTCGAAAAGTGAAGCATCCATGGGTTAGTTCAGTTGATGTTCACACCTATTCAGCTGCAGATACATTCTCCTGCACAGAGCCATGTCTCGCCACTTCTTACGCATTCATTTTATTACTGCTCCAGTTCCTTGGTATCTAAAAGCAAATTCCGTCCAAAGACAAGCAATCGACAAGAGACTGGCCCTGGAACTATTGGTGACCATCATTCGATCAACTGCTACCGCACTTTTCAAAGTTAGGTCAAAACCTCACATCTGGCTAGAAACCTGTCCCCAAGGGTAGTTTTGCTCCCTGAACACGAATATGGCACCCATTTGGCGTTTGAGTGTTTTCTAGACTTAAAAGAGACATTCCCCACAAAATGCAACCAAGCTCCCTTCAGAGAATCGCTTTGCAAATTTCGAAGGCAGATTCGAGATCAGCGTCCAAAACCACGTCTAGTGAGCTACATCTCATTACAAATGGCCACTTCGACCTGACGACCTTCCCTAGTAAGAGTGAAGAACAACACTTATTTCAGCAGCTTGTGATACTAGCCGCACTCCGTGAATGGTCCTCAAAAACAGTACAAAAGTTGTTTGAAGAAGCAAACATCCCTCCCGTTAAGAGTACATTTTCCCACAATACCATAACACCGATTTACCCTGTTGCAATTTCCAGGAATCCCATGCTGCTATTTTGCACTTCGAGTTACCATCACCATGTGACCTCCCTGAGCTTTTCGACTTCACCTCTTCCCACGCTGAAGAGTTAGTGCTGTCGTTCTCGGTAAGCTTACCCACGTTCTATACCTACCCTTCATTACCGCTTGTACAGTTGCTAATTTATACTAAGTGTCTATGTTCAGGTGTCTCAAAACAGCCTTGATCAAGCATTTGTAAGCTTCGTGAAAGAACAGACGGACCCCGGAGGGAAGCGTAACGTCAAAATGCCCATCTCAACAGGCCACGTTTGCGCTGTCGCTAATCCTGACCCCGAATCCGGAACACTTCATATCGATACAAAGTCGTTATCGTCAGCATCCTCGAAGAATGTGACAACTAAAAATACAGCAAATTCCAATGTCGCGCACGAGAGCTTTCTCCGATGAAGAAACAGATATACGTTAAAATGCGAAATGTTATTCGTCCTCACAACTGTTATCGAACCTATCAATGTTTTGGAGTGCTAACCAAACTAATTTTTTTTTCCTTGTCAAAATATTAATCCCATCGATTTCTTTTGCTGCGTAGCGATTGTCACAATAATCGCTTTCGAAATTAATATGGTGTGGTGTCTAGGTACTAATTGATAAATTCTATTTTGTGCTTTGTCGTTTTATTCCATTTGTAGACCAGTCTCGTTGCCAATTATGTCTTCAAAACTCTCAACTTGTCAGCGTGAGGCTAGCATCTTGAAACTTTTCGTTGCAAACCATTTCCTTTTGTCAGTTCATTGGATTGAATATGATAATCTGAAACTTTAGTTTGCCTTAGCCCCGAGAGCGTGAAGTGTCGTTCGTGATCGCCATTGTTTGAATTGAGCGTGACCGTCAAACTCCCGTTGCATCAGAAAATAAAGTTCGTGGCTGCATTTTGCACTGAAGGATGTGTAACGCTCCCATAACAGCAGGAGTTGTAACTGAACAAATTCTTAAAAGTCGTCTTGTGCTCAGAATGATTTTTTTCCGTAAAAGTCGACCTACGTCATGGCAGAAGTAAAAGTGTGAGCACCTAGATGGATGGACTGCCACATATTAAGGGTAGAAACGCCAGGGTTTGCTTTCAACAATCTTCAAGACAGCCTCCATGCTGATCAAAGTGCGGAAGCCCTTCCCGAAGCTTTACGAGTTGGAGTTCACCACCCCGGAGGATGTCCCACTTTCGCGATTCGAAAGCGCTGGATAAAAGCATGACGGCCCAGCGACGATTACCTGGCTCCGCTTCGCATTCTATATCATCCTTCATCATTTCTTTTTGCTTTCGCCATGAGCGGAGAGGACTTATCAACTGCATATTATCGGCCACACCATGGTCTATTCCTTTTTGACCTTCAGCCTTTCGGCTCTGTTGCCCATAAAGCACACAGAGCCCAGAAATTTTCCTGTTTATAGCTTCAACGGTTCCTTTGGCTTTTGTCCTCAATGGTATTCGGCCTACCAGATATCCATATGACTGAGCCCTACAACCTGCGAAAAACGAATTTTCAGAGATATTCCGTGTATGGGACGAGGGGTCTAGTGCAGTGCATTACCGCGGGGTCTAGTGCATGAGTTGAGGACACCCATGAGTGTACAGTAGGCCAAAATCCCGCATAGTATTAAACGCTTGGACCCCGTGAACGCACACAACGTTCCCCACAGCGCGTCCTAAGCGGCACTGTTGATATGGCCCCGAAGGGGGGGGGGTGTGGAGTGAAAATAGCGTTGCATTCGCTTCATTGCCTCACTTTGGGGCTTTAGCGTTCGAAGACACACCGTTGCTTGGGAGTTTCGGATGATTGTACCGTTCGTACCGCTCACTGTGTTGAAGGCGAATTCTAGCAAGAGGCCTGTAGAGAACGAAGAAACAAATTAGAGGATTTCGTAAAGAAAGAGAATCAACCGAGCATGAGGTCATGGAAATCTGGTAAATCAAAAGGTGTTCCATTAGTGGGAGATACAGGCTATACTGCATAGTGCATCGAGTTCTAACTAGACCTCTCAACCATGCCTTACACAAATACTAAAAAGGTACATTGGCAGAGTTTGTGTGGATACAGACGGCATCCACTAATGCTTCCTCTTGCTTGTTGAATTTCTGCTGATATGATGCTTGCTCACTGCTGGAGTACGAAAAGCTTACTCCTAAACATTCCTAATCCTTCCGTAAGACCACAACAAGAAGTTGAAAGGCTAGGCTGGATTCTTCACGAAATTTTGTACACCATTTTTATATTTTTATTTCAACAATTAATTGAGACAGTCTGTGCTTTCTCCAGAGAAACTGCCGGCTAGATTGAGCTCTCCGATGTCGAACACCTTGCTGGGGGTCTCACCTTCCGTCACGAAGTTCTTGGGGATCTTCACTGAGATCTTCTTGTAGCATATCTGAAAAGAAGCTCATGATTCCAGAAACGAAAGAGAGTTCCCTGGAATCTTGAATCGGACCTGTTTCTAAGACTATTCATTCAGATCCTCTCCCAAGCAACGGGTGTCTAGGTGCGTTACCTTAAGCGAAATGACTGTGAGATTTCGATAAGTGCTGGGTTGACGCTCCTTGGTCGACGCAACTACTCTATTTTTGACCATTTATGGCCAGACGCAAAGGAGAATGAAAAATTACGAAGAAGAGACGATACCATCATAACCACATGAAAAGCATCCAGACTATATAGGCGTTGTATCCTTTGATTCCTTCAGCTACTACTGAATTTGTGGAGGGAACAGTAAGTATGAGGTAGGCACGAGCTATTTTATGCGTGGATAGGGCGCATTCAAAATATGCAGAACACGCGGCTATAACGACAGAAACCGTTTCGCTTGATGTGGTGAGCTATCCCTTATGTTCTAAAGCTAAGAAAATACGGATTAGGAAGAAAACATTATTTCTTCATTATCAAAATAACTATATGTTGTTAATGTTAACCAAATATAACCGAATAAATAGTACTTTGACAAGAGGTAAAGAAGGTAGTGAAATGTGTAAAAATCAAATAATGAAAGGTAGACGTCTAACAGCGGTCATAATGATTCAATCCGAGAGTGTATCTCACAGAGATTGGTCATTTACTAGAACTTTTCCAGGTTCCCTTCGAATCGAACTTCAGTAGATTAAATATCAAAACTTACTCCATTATAGTTGCATTTGTGATAGATGTTAACTTTGGGGTCAATAGTAGTAACCTCCTTCTTGCTGCCGGACATCTCGAAGGTTCCCTTCGCATCCGTGAATTTCTCGTCCAACAGTTTATCGAGCACTAAAGACTTCATTAATTCATTCATCTTTAACAGTAATGGTAAACCCTCTGTATATGGAAACGACTCACAGACTTCCTTCTCGTACAATTTTACTTTTACGTTTTCGGCTGGTTTTCCATTGCAGGTGAGGGCCCCCCTAACAGCGACCGATTGAACCGATCCAATGAACGGCAAAGCAGACGTGGCTGAGACCAGGCAGGCCAACACCAAAATTTCATTCTTAGACCTGAAATTGCAGTGTGACGCTGATAAATCGAAAAGGCGCAGGAAAGCCAAACACGCATAGGATTTGTAGAGGAAACGGCAACACCGCCTATCCTCACACTTGGAATATAGCTCTGAACACTATGAGAGGGTGTATTGATGGTTGTCTGTGTGAACTGTTCTTAAAGAGATCACCGAAGGGTGGGCTGCTAGATCTCCCAGGACCAGGAGCTTCCAGAATCATCCAAGGGCAGTCATCTCAAAAAAGTTCAACAGCTATCGATGTACTTCAAAACAATGAGAGGCTCCGGAAATCTACTAAGAAACCTCAAAGGTAGCTAAAAAAAATAACTAGTTGGCTACGCTAGAGTTCTTTTTAAGAGGCTGTTGGCTGCGTCATACGGATATCGGTGCCACGATAGTGATAGGTGGGTCCCGAGATAGACAAAGGTCATGGAAAACCTAGAACGTTCATGGCATGATGGTAAAGTTGTTTTTTTCTTCTCAGATTCTCTGACGAACAACACTTATGACAACAGAAAGAATCTCTAGGCTTTGATGAAAGTAGGATATGAGAAGCGATGGCAGACAAAGTGTGAACTGTGTTTAATTCCAAGGGCGGGAAGAAGTTACGGTTGTCTTTTGTGTGGTTCAACCGGTTACCGCTAGCCCATCGCTGTAACGCGTCAGACGATGGCGAAGACTGACGGTCGATCGAGGCCATTGCCATGGAAAGCCGTAAATCGAACACACGACAGTTTTCATCGCAAATGATAGCAACTTTCAGTTTATATAACAAAAGACCACTCTTAATTTTACATATATCAAAGATTATTTTCTTGTTTAACTACCTGGTCACTTCTTCTGCAGTCAGAGAATGCGTGAGTCACTGATGGACTGATCCGACCAGGCGTCCGCCAAAGTTACCATGAACTTGAAAGGAAGACCTGGTACGATACGAGTCTATAAAAAAATTTACCAAATGTAGATAGCAAAACTGCAACCTGCATTTCACAAGTAACTTATGAACAGGTAAAGTTTTGTAATGCTGCAGTAGGATGGAAGTTAGTGGTGAGCTGTGAAGCATAAACGAGGACGTCAAATCGAGTCGTGGTGGTTCAGTGGTAAGGTCGTTTGACGAACTATGGTTTGACGTCATCATATTCCCGCTCCATGCCTTCACAGCTCACCACCGGAGCCTACCACCTACCTGCCACCATTACAAACTATTACCTGCTCTAAAGTTGCTTGCTGAGATGCAGGTTGCAGTTCCCGACTCCATCTATCTCCCAGGTCTCTCGAATCAAGAAGCTTCCATGCGTAAGTAAAGCGTACTTCCCTGCGTGAAGGATGACGTTACGTTCAAAGGTCACCAACAAAGAGCCGTTATACATGGGTCGTAACCATAAATATATCTTCCAAGAGAGCCAATCCTTGGCTAGTGGTCGACGCCACTGCAGCGGAGGATTAGACATGCAATATTTCGTTCCCTTCTGTCAAGAAAGAAAATATGTTCAAAGTACATTTCGCGTTTCCGCGTCGTAGGTGATGATATTCAGGAATAAGAGTCGCATTTGCTGACCCACTAATGACGGAAAAAGGTAAGAAAAATGTCAAAGGAGTGAACAAGATCTATTAATTTCAACAGTGACAAGCGGTCCCCATTCTAGGCGAAATCCCGGAATGGCTCGCGCAGCCAAGCCGTCCACCCCAGAAACGGTAAAATGGTGCCGGGAGGATATAAACACTGATAGTCATGTGACTCATACTAGAGGCCATATAGCGTTCAATAAGGCACTACGGTTGTCAACAGAAGTGGAATGCCTGCCGCATCGCAAAAACGAGATTGACGAACGGCGAAATTTTATCCTCTGAACTTCAAACGAGCGCACCGTGTAGAGAATGCGGGTTTGGATGGGTTCTTTTGTTCCCATTCTGCTGATAGCATGACGATATCGGCTCCATCATAGGGTTGTCATTTTATATCTAAACTATCCCATTTAATCGTAATTATCGTATTACCGCGACCACATTTGGGAGAGAAGGGGAAGATGTATAGGGCGTGGAACTACCGGACCAATGGGACAACCTCTCAGCATGCTCGCTGCGCACTATGGTACACGGAAAAGCATAGAAGCTGTACTCGGGACCTGACTACCTACCAGCTTAATTGATTTCTCTGATTTGATGAATCGCGAAAACGCTCTTCTCAAACTGAAGCATGAAAGGTCCTAAGTGAGGAATCAAAGAGGGACGACAAGGATGCAGTGGTTGACCTTGTTTGTGTGAAATTGGAGGGCTGTAATAATTGTCTCTCACATGACATCATTTCTCTTTCTGGGTTGAACGACACGAACGTCCCTATGCGTGGGCAGTTTATGAGCGTTGGTTGACTAATAAGAGAGACGCAATGCATAGCGATACCTTCCTCAGTAGTAATGGATCTACATGCAGCAAAGCACCATTCTCGTCTTCAGCACCTCCTCAGAAAGAGAAATGGAAGATATTTTTTTGGTTTTCTTGGTCTGGTTTCCACGGATTTTCTTGGTTTCTAGCCTTAGGTACGTAGAGTTCGGAAAATAAACGAATGTAAGCAACTTCTGATTAAGTACTTTGTAAGTATCAAGGGTCCCTAATCTCCGACTCTCTTAGCGTCTATAAGTATTAAGGATTCCTATTCTCCGACTCTCTTAGCGTCTCTCGTTAGCGTCGCAAATTATGAACGCGGCCCGTAGGAGGTGTTGATTCTCATTTGATATGCTTTCTTGTTTCTGCTTCAACGCTGTAATAAAGACCAATAGAATTAAGGTGTTCTCAGAGACCTCTAGTAGATTGCCACTCACAATTAACCTTCATTTCTTATTGTCTGCTCCGTCGTTTCTTTGATTGAACTTCAACGAATAACTGATCACCCAACCTCCACTGCTTGTTGCTATGATTACACTGCTGGTAGAATCGTGGCCGAGTCAGATCCCATAGAAGTAAGGACTGGACTCAACACAGTGTCCCTTCGAGGGGTTCCGCACAAGGCGACCCAACGTCGTAAGGACCTGCTAAATGAACAAGGAATCTACAGGGCTTAGGGCGGCGTTCTATAATGTTAGTAGGTAGTGTTCCGAGCAACTCAAGCAAATCAGTGAACCGGGAGTAGAGAGTTGTGGGGAAGCAAGAGGGTAGCAGCAATTTAGTGGTGAGGTTTAATGGTATGTATAGGCGCTGCCGCGCGCCGGCCATTTCCCACGCGGGCGGCTAACAGCTCACCGACGCATATGCTACTGCTAAAGCAGAAAGTTATGCAAAATGTACGGTTGCAGTGTAGTTGTAACAGTCTGGTTGCACACAGCCGCCAATGTTCCCGACCCTCTGATTCACTGTTTCCGCCTGTGACTCGTCCTTGCTCTTCACCCATACTCTCTAGCTCCCGGTCGCTGGTGAACGCTGGTGGTAGACGCTCGATCAATGCCTATTCTTCCCTAGCCCTCGAGACGCTGGCATACGCTGGATAATCAATTCTTTCCTAGTCGCTGATGCTGCTGGACGCTCGGAACGCTAGCGACGCCGGTAGGCGCTGCGCAAAGTATGAACGCAGTTTAAGGTTGTGAGAGTGCTTGCTCAAACCTTATCGAATTGTTCATGAAAAATGCCACTGATGAGACTTTTAGACAGCTGTAGCTCTCTCGTGTCTTCGCGTACAGACAGGAGATCTCTCCACTTCTCCGCTAACGTCATCCAGACCCTCTATCTCAAGACAAATCTGAACAAGGCTCGCGTGAGAAGATGAAAACTCTGGCTGGCCTCCAAAAGCTGTTGCATAGCCCATATCATAGCCAACTTCACTGCGAATTTTTATGGAAGTGAAAGGCGTAACAAATCCCGAAAAGGATTGTTCAGCTTCAAACCTTATTTTTCATTGAGAAAGTAGTATTTAAACGAAACAGCATTCTTTGTTTTAGTTAAGCTAGGAGCATGAAATGCGCGCAGATCAAATAACAGCCAATTCGTGATCAGTGTTCCTCATCAGTATCTGTTCCCTGACATCCTCGTAAAACCATTCAATTTAAAAGTCATGGTTTAACACTACTGTGTTTTTCTCCTTAGTGGTTACTGAGTCACATTCCTACCACTGACCGCCTTTCTCGTTAAAAAAAAACACTTCGCTAAGGCCGGGCGGGTGAGAGCGAAAATCGGGGCAAAACTTATTCACACTGTTTGCTCAGCGCTGGTTGGGGGAGACTATTACGCCGTAGACAATCACCAAAAAACCGGACTAGACCGTGCTTAGCAGCGTCTCGAGCAATGGTCAATGTTTAGTACATTACGAGACCAATGTTATCATGAAAGCGCCTCCAATCTCTTATCAAAACACCATGTTGATACTGCTAAGTAAAATCGAACGTTGTCCCAAATCACACATTCAGTCCAACTGTGCCGAAGTAGACTTAAGCGCATACATTCAGATTTAACCTTAATCCAGTTTTCACTGTATCACGTAACCAAACTAGAGTGCCAAGCCGACAAAAACGCGCATTCTCAACCCCATCTTCTTTCGGCGGATAACCAGAGGGCTAAAAATCGCGGAGCTCACTTTAAAAGCAGTCGGCACGATGGTTTCCCACTCGGCCTAAAATGCTAGTAAGGCGCTATGTAATGGGAAATGGTGAAAGAACGGAGTGAAACGGTCAAAATCCGGCGAAGAAAAAGGCTCCGTTCTCAGTGACTTGTAAATCGATTTCGGACGAGTTTCCCGTACGCATCTTGCCAATCACCGCTACCGAAGATACGGCTGCATATGTGTACCCATATATGCATGCAGCATCACGGCCGCTTCATACCAATCCTTCGCTTCATAATTTGCTTAGCAAATGAATGAATACGAGCGTCAGGAACGGTCGTCCGTTTGTGGGCGGGCGGGCGAGGAAGGCGTTTGGGACGGAATGTTGTTGCTCGATAGGGCGTTATAGGGGTACCCTCCTTGGAAAAGGCGCCACGGAGCGCCTGTCCGAGGTCACGGAATTCTGTTAAGCCAGTCGTATAAATGCCTACATATGCATAGCGATTTGTAGTGCCAACTGCCTTTAAAGCATGTCGCAGAAGCTCACTCGTATGATGAATTAGGCAGCAGGGCGTCGAAATGGTTTAAGCGATTCAAAGATTTCAGCTCGACGTTACATTCATGCATCGCCCCAGGCACCCAGATCAGTTTAATGAGGAGCTACAGAGTCAGCTCATGTTCAAAAAATACGAGCCGGACAACAAGGGAGTTGGTAAAAATCATGTACTGCTCTTCACAAGGGAAGGATACTAACTTGCCATGGCCATATGTGATGTTTACTTCTAGATGCTTCTTCGGACGCTGATATCAGATCCGACTTCCGAAACGCAGCAGGTAGGCTAGCAGACTTATAACAGTGGAATGAAGGTTCGATCCGATGCATGCGAGTGCGATACACGTAATTTTGCTTTTCCCTAGAAACGTACGCTAAACACTTGGAAGGTAGTTTAATTCCGACCACCAGAACCTTTCTACCCATTATAAAGCCCTGTGGCTAGCCAGTACCACCATGTGTCATCTTCGCATCATGGATAATTTATCGTAGTTTCCGACGATGATCCCGTCCTTAGTCGTCTCATCGCCTGAGACGATTATCTATAGCTAACCCCGCCTCTTACAATTAGCTGACACGAGGGTCACGATGGTCCTCGCCAAGCAAGGGTGTTCATTCT